CCAGCCTCCCCTCTCCAGGAGGCACGGGTGGGAGCGTTTGTCCCCGTGCCTGGGGACCGAGCCAAACAGCAAACACACACACATCACATCCCTCCATAGTTTTCAGTTCAAACTATTACTAATAAAACATCTTTCCACGGCAGAACCAAGCAGCAGCCCATTTTCCACAGCCCGGCGGAGCGCTCTGCAGGCACCAGCTGGCTGGAGAAGCCCATTTCGCTCCTAAAATAAATACATTTAAAATAAAAAACCCAACCAACTAATACTGCTTCTCATCACAAGACATGGCATTTAGTGAAGTGCTCCGAAAACTCAAGAGGGAAGCCATTAAGGCTAAAGAGTTGGCCAAGGACTTTTAATACGATGTCAGCGTGCGTCTGCAGCGCTGGGACAGCCACAGGAATATTTTCCCCAGCCAGCCTCCAGTGTGATTTCAGATGGGAAACCCCCTTGCCTGTAATTTCGCTTCTCCGAAAATACTCTGGGGGCTGTCTCAAACCCCGGCAGTTTCACCCTGAGCTCTCAGAGGCTTTCTGATCCCGCAAGGCTGCAGTGGGCGAGTTATAAAAATAGGAAGTAAAAATACATCCCTGTCCTTTTTGCTCAAAAACACCCCCCCGAAAATGTCGTGAGCCTTAAAAGCCGAGGAATGGGTAAAAATGCACCTTAATGCTGCAGAGAGAGTTGCAGTAAGTCGGCTCCTGAGCCCCGAATTTAGCGGGGAGCCATCCCTCCTCCTCTAATGATGCTGCCTGGCAGGGAACCTGCCTGCAGAGCCACGGGTAGAATTGCAGCAGGCAGGAAGGAGAAGGCTGGGGTCGCATCCCCCCGCCAGCGACCCCCAGCAGAAACAGGAGCAGAAGATGCACAAACAATAGAGAAAACAGGATGAAACCGGCCCCATCCGCAGGGATCCCGGCGGCTGGGAAACCGGTTATGAAACACAGATGGGGCAAAGCAAGATGCACGGCTGGAGACCGCGTACGAGGGGAAAAAACCCTCCCAGCACGGGAAAAAGCATCTGTCTTACGGAGCACCGAGCGGCCGCCGAGGCTTTGGCCCCGATGAGCCAAAGCCACCAGAGGGAAGGTGTCGCGCGGAACAAGCCCAAGCGTCTGCGGACACGATGGAGGCATTTGGACCAGCGATGGGGAAGAAGTGACCGCCTGGCAAACGGATCCCTGCGGCTCTGTGCTGCCGGAGGAGCGTGGACGCTCAACGGTATGGGTTGGTGCTGAGCGATACGGGGAGTCTTTGCCAAAAAAAAACCAGCGCACCTCCCTGAAGGTTACGGGGAACGGCATGAGCGCATCTGGTCCCGAAGTGTGCGAGCTCCGTCTGCTCCTCCACGCTTCCCTTTCAAAGCCAGGATCCTGAGCCAGATGGATCCTCGTCGGACCCAGCACAGCTGTCGTAAGGAGACCCAGGATCCTGGCAAGCGTTATTCCCCGTCGGACCCAGGGCTTCATCCATCTCATGTCAAGAGCTGTGACTCCGGAGGAATTTCTGGCAGATGGCTGGTTTAGATAAGGGACCACACAGCGTCTTAAAAGCCAGCGCATGGCTGGAGACCGCGTGTGCGCGCACGCCGTCACCCACCTCCGAATTTAATAACCGCCTCTTGCAGATTTTATGATCTCTTCCCAAGCTTTCCACGCCTCTCAAAGGGAAGGGAGCACCCCCTTTCTCTGGGCGACTCCGAATCATCTGTAGCAAGTGAACGACTACGGGAATAAAATGCAGAGGAGACAACTTTTTGCAGGTTTACCTCCGAGATCTGCTTATTTGATGCTTTAGAGTAGAAAGAGCAGAGAGATGCCAGCGCTGGCTCTTTGCCTCGCCACCGCATCACTCTCCCCAGCCCGGCCGGGCTCCCTGGGATCAAAACCAACCGCTGTGTTTGATCCTGGCAGGTCTGAACGCAGAAGGAAACAGCCCTATTAAAAAAAAAGAGCTTTTTAAGGGCTACGTGCCCTGCACCCCCCGTAGACTTTCAGCCGCTCTAGCCTGGGCAGAGACGGACCCCGTGCAACCGGCAGCAAAGCACGGGTAGAGAGGACGCGGCAGCGTTTACTCAGGGCGAGCATGCAGGCCGTCCGAATGCTTGGAAAGCACGGCGTCGCTCGCTTCAGCGTCCTCCTGAACGGGTTTTAGGGGACCGAAGGCAACATGAGGTTATTGCTTTCATTAATTCAGCAGAGATCAGACACAAATGGCTGCCTGCAACGTTTCATTTCCTTCTCCTTCCCTTTTTTAATTTTTCCAAGCAGAGGCGGCAGCCGCGAGGGTGGGACCCCTGCTTTGTACCGGAGTGGTCCGCAGCGGCAGAAGAGCTCAAGATTTGCCTGGACTGCGCACAGCCAGAGATGACCTTTGCTTTGCTTTTGGCCGAAATTCCTATCGGACTCCATTTTGAGCCAACCCGAGTAAAAACGTCCCTTCTTCCTCCCGTCGGAGCGGGCAGTGCACTCTGCACTGGCACAGCTGCGAAGAGCAGCCCAGGCGCCCTTCTTCTCCGGCGCATCCCTTATTTAATGCTGTCAGCTCCGCGATCAGGGGTGAATACACCAGGTATTGGCTCTTCCACGCTCTGGATGCCTCCCCAGCCAGGGATGGGGAGCAGGGCTGCATGGGATGCTCTGATCCGGAGCAGGCGATGAGAGCCAGGGCCCAGAGGACGGTGTCACGAGCTCCGCTCCTTATTTGCCAAATATTTGCCGATGTGTGAGTCACGAGAGAGGAGGGAGAGGGAGAGGAGGGGCTGCGTTGCCTCTGCCCCTAAGCAGGGCCCGGGGAAAGCCACGAGCCCCTGTTACCGGCAAATAATCCCCGCGGGTGCAAGCAGAGCCCTGGAGCCGCCGACGGGTCCATCCCCTCCGCCCTGGGTCGGTTCCTCCGTGACGACACGGTGCGATCCATGCTGCGTCTGCTTGTTAAATTAACACCTCTCTTTTATACAGCCTCCAGATGTAATCCTGTATTAAAGCCACTCATCTCATTGCAGAAGGGGTCAGGAATGTGTGGGGTAATCCAGGAGGCTTTAGCAGCTGGTTCAGGAGGGGGAAAAATTCAATTTAAATTCACTATCTTACTTTGTATAACAAATCCTCCTGCCGCAGGGCTACGGGTATTTGCTTGCTACGCAGCCAGGCGCCAGCAATGCTTCGGCGTTAAATGGCACTGAAGGGGAGCGACACGGCAAACCCTTCCCGGAAGAATCATTTGGGATGCTCTGCACTGGCAGGCACGTGGTCCTCGTCCCGCTGTCCATCTGCAAGGCTTTCCAAACCACACCGAAGCTCCAGCTTTTATACCCCACGTAAGCTGAGATTACACAGCGAATTCAAAGGAGGTGGATGCTCCTGGGGCACGTCGGCACAGCTAATACCCGTGGCACGGCGAAACCCTCCGAAACGAGGGCTGGAGGATTCTGCCTTGGCACCATTTCGCCCGTAATAGAGCTGGGGGCGGTGGTTTGAAGAGCGATTCATAGAGCCTCTATAGAGTTTAGGGCTATAAAGGGATCATTAGATGATCTAAGCCAACCTCCCATCTATCATAGGTCGTTAAATAGCACTTTGTTACTCCTGGGAATGGGAGCCAAAACGTCTCCTCCAGAAAGGCCCTCTGTCTTGATTTAAAGACGTGAAGAGACGGAGGACTTGCCACTTCCCTTGCTGGCTTGTTTCACCGGTTACTCACCCTCCCTCTCTTACAACATGCCTCCAACTTCTAAATTTAAAGATTTTCTGGCTTGATCTTCCAGACATTACTACTTGTTATTTCTTCTTTGGGGCAAAACACACCCAGCAAGACCCGGTGCCCAGGAAAATACTCTGAAAGTCCAAACACCTCTCCGTTTTGCAAGCGAGCCATACAGATTCAAGCTCAATCTGGGCAAAACACGTCCTTGAGCTTTCCGAACACCGTTTGTCTACTTTTTTTTGCATCCCCTCCCACTGGCGTCCCAGTTAAAATGCGAACACTGGACACAGATGCAACATCCCGGCACAAACCTTGTTAACATCGAGCACCGAGATACAAATCGCCTGGTCGGGGATGACCCCTCCATCTGTTTCTGCCTTGTCTGCCGGGGTGGACAGAGGCATCGCACCTTCAAACACCCTTTTCCTGTGCGTAATTGCGGGCGAAAGTGAAGATATGATGCCCAGGCAGCCCAAATCGCCCCCCCGGTAAGCCTGGGTTTGGGCTCACCTGCAAGTTTTACAAGGTTTTGCTTGGTGCAGAGCTGAAAATAGGTGGAAATTATCAAGTATTTAGAAGGTGACACTGAAATCTTGCTTCCCTGGTCTACAACAGCAGGACAAAACATTTTCAGCACCCTCTGGATAGAAAACCTGGTGGGACTGGCTGCTGTGAGCCAGCCAGACGCAGCCTCCATGGTGCAAGAAGAGACCAGGCGCCTGCCTTACGGGGACAGAGGGAGAGGACGCGATGGATGCACGGCTAAGCAGGGAGCTGGGGCCATCCGAAATGCCAGAGGGGAGGGAAAGGGGATGGAAAAGCTCTTCTGCAACTCGGCGGGAGAGCTCTGGGCGCACAGGATTTTGGCAGGCGGTGTGAG